TATTTCAATTTTTTAATAATAATTATATCATCAAAAAACAAAGCACCGCACAGAAAAAGTGAAAAAGAACATGTCACATTACAATGGCGGGCTTTTCTCATATTCCGTAGTGTTTTTAAAAATTATGAAATCTTTTGCGCATATTATTACGTAAGTTGTGGGTTTTCGGTAATGTAATCGAGGATTCGATTTTCCGGAACATTTTTCACATCGAAAGGTAACAAAAAAATCATGTTAAACAATGGTAACTATTTGTCACAGTATAACTAATCAATAGGTGGTAACTATTGTCGCTTAAACAATTCTTTGTGCATTATCTAATTGAATTACGGTTGCTTGTAGATTATTTTAGTTAGTGCGATTCTAATAATAAATAACAATAATACCTGGCAATAAACACAGACGGTGGGAATGAACATTGCATTACACTTGGGTACCTATAATAAATATTATCGTTTTAACGGTGAGAAATGATAGGTAGACGTAACTAAACATAACTCATTTGCTATTATTTGATTTGTTATTATAAAGCAAACAAGTAAACTGCATTCTTAAAATAATTAATCTACTGAACATCCGGATAATTCAAATGATAGTACAAAACGAACACTTTTATTACTTGCATCTCCAGTCCATATCCTGAAATATTCTCGGAAACTAGATCATCCCACATAACTAACTATTTACCAGCAATAGATGATCCTCTCTTTACCTTTGTTTCTACTTTAAATTTTAGACATATTTAAAGTAGAAACAGAAATCAGACCTTCATCTCATAGAAAAATGTCCCACAATCCTTAAATTCTCTTCCCCCTTTTCCTTGTTGACTGCCATTGTTCCCTTTGTTCTCCTGTATATTTCAATATCTTCTCATTTCGAACCTTTTTTAACTACAGTATTTTCATCATCCGCCTATATCATCCAGGGACGTAGTCAGCTGTTTTTCGCACGGACCAAAGGTGATCGACTTCGTTGGATACATTCAGTTCCATAAAATTAAGATTTCTCGAGTTACGTAATAACGTTAGGTATATACTCTGTTTCATATCTAGACTCAGACAGACAGATTTACAGAAAAAAATGTTTTAGACTGCATGTTAATTTCCTCCTCTTCGTATCTCAGAAAATGTCTTACAATTCCAAAATCCGCTTTCTTCTTTTCCTTACACGTAGCCGTCTTTTTTCACTTCGTGTCTCAGAAAATTCTTCACAATTCTAAAATCCGTTCTCTCCTTTTCCTTATTGATACCCAGAGACGTAGTCCAGCCTTTTTCAAATGTGTCAAAAATGTCCACATCGTTGTAGACGTTCAAAACTAAACCTAGACAGGAAAAGTAAACAGTTTTTCAGATCGCATGTCAATTTCCACCCTTAGTGTCTCAGAAAATGTCTTACAATTCCAAAAACCGCTTTCTTCTTTTCCTTATTGACACCCAGAGATGTAGCCCAGCCTTTTTCTTCATGGACCAAAAATGTTCACATCATTCTAGACTCGCAACCTAAACCTTGGCATAAAAAGTCAGGAGTATTTCAGATCGCATGTTAATTTCCCCCCCTTCGTGTCTCAGAAAATTCTTCACCACTCTAAAATCCGTTCTCTCCTTTTCCTTATTGATACCCAGAGACGTAGCCCAGCCTTTTTCAAATGGGTCAAAAATGTCCACATCGTGGTAAACGTTCAAAACTAAACCTAGACAGGAAAAGTAAAGAGTGTTTCAGATCGCATATTAATTTGCTCTTCTTCGTGTCCTGCAATTCTAAAATCCGCTCTCTCCTTTTCCTTATTGACGCCCAGAGACGTAGCCAGCTATTTTTCAGATGGGCTTTTTTCACCACCCCTTGCTCAGGAAGTAAAATTTTCTTAGATAAGTAATATAGTTAATCGAAAAAAAATTGCAAAAATCTCAATTTGGATATTTTGCATAATTAAATAAAAACACCACATAGTTTTTCATTAAACAAAATGTCTTGGATTATATCAAGTTAAATGTTTATTGGTTTATAGAATTAAACTAATATTCAGGATGACCCAGCAAATGGGTCAGCATTTTCAATGCGTGAGCTTTAACTCGTCCTGGTCCATTCGTAGCCTGATATTACTGCAACTCAAACATTTCTAACTTCTCCTTTTCCACAGAGCCCATCGTTCAGTTTTCGCCCTGTACAGGGCCGTGCTACAAACATACATTTTCAACAATCTTTTTTGAATTTCCAAATTATAACTGTTCGATAGCCCAGAAGTGATCTTTTTCTGTTAAAAGCGACTTAACACGACTATTTTCGTTAAAACTCATCCCATTCCATTTCATTCTACAATTTTCTGCTATTTGACTTTATTACTTACAATTAAATAAATATAAAATGTATCTACACGTCTGTACCATTAATTATTGTTTTTTTTTTATTTCTTAATAGTTGGCAAAACACTGAAATTGATTAAGGTACAATTGAAGTACCAAAATTTTGAAAAGTTCAAAATTAGTCAAGACTTCTGTTCATTTGGTTACTATTTCTGCCTGTCTATTATTTTGAGAGAATGCTGGCGTAACTATTTTTTTTTTATTTAAATCGTTCAATTCGTTTATTTAGTAGGTATGTAGGTATATTATTAGTATACGTAAACCTTGCAAAAGCCTTCAAAATAAATTCGTTTTGGAAGCTGCCAATTGTCTAGCAATTGATGAAAAGTTAGCTAAAAATTTTATTAGACTTATCTTTATAGATATTGTATGTATTGACCAAGGGATTACATCACATTAGCTAAACTTGCTTCAAGCTTTAGGTGTTAATAAGTAATCACCTCATTCTATTTGTTGTTACACATCCATAGGAATGTTGTGCTTAAGGAAGCAGTATAAATATTTTAATATTTCGTATCATATTTTGTCCATCCTGCTTATTTGAAGCCTTTAATCAAACCTTTTAAAATAGTAACGTGGTTATCAAAATCAGAAAAAGACTAAATTTAGTTTATACTTACTTAGTTAATGTTAACTATGTATGTTTTTCTATAGTATATGTCTACGTCCTTAATTTGGAAATACAAGTACCCATTTCATTCATTTACATGGTTATTTTCTTCGCATGTTATAAGTATAGGTATTAACCGCTTAATATGAAGTAATTGCTGTCTTAAGTTTGGTTTTTACATTAAATTCTCTATAGGAAAGTTTGGATATAATGACTCCGTTTAAAATGACATATCGTTTATTATGACTGATTCTCAAGAAATCTTATCTGGCTATAGTGACCCAAATGATTAATAATGACATTTTCGCTCATTTTTCTGACCCTTCTTATGTATATTGATATTACAATTCATCGTTCTTTTTCTTTTTTTATTAATAAATAAATACAAGTTGTAGTTTTTCTCTCTATTAAACTAAATAACTAACTATAATAGAAAGTTGTTTATTTTCATTTATGTCATTTCCCTTCGATGTCATTATAAGCGGATTCTACTGTATTTTATTTTTACGTAAATATTTAATGCAAATGAAAAGTTTGGCATTTTTCAACAAAAAAGAATCAAATTTTCACAAATGTTCGTTCTTAAAATACAAACTAATGAATACTTCATGCAAATTATAATTAATCATGATCAATTATCAAAAGGACGAGTGATCTAATTCGGTAAAGTGGACAAAAAACGAAAGCACTTACAAAACATTTAGAAATGTTTCCAACAAAATATAATAAAACTTTAGATCGATAGGAACCTGAGAAAAAGGGAGAAATTTTGTCCGGAAGTTGTTTTTTTCTTTGGTAGCAAAAAAAAAGGACCTTGGAAATACTTCCATACACAGAGATTGTTTATGTAGTAAAACGTAGTAGGCGATGGAGTGAGAGGGAGGCATGTAGTAGGCAGGGAGAAGGGATGCTGGAAAGCGCCAGCAACGGGATGAAAACATTGCAGCTTATTGCGGTATTGATTATAAAATCAATAAAATATGGCCTAGCGAACGAAACCGGAAAAATAGCTGATTCACGCGCTACATTTATTCTATAAGAATTAAAATGTTCATGCGCACTTCTATTTTCTCTAGCCGCGAAGAAGGTAATGATTTTTTGGGGATGAAGTGAAGTACAGGGGTGGGGGCTACTCTAACTCATTAGCCTACCAATATGCAACATTCGTTTGCCTCGACTTTATTTTTACGCATTTTTTCATGCTACTTTTCGCGGTCTAGAACGAGTTGAACTAAAAAAGAAAAATCTGACTGCTACGTTCGCAGAACTTCGTACGCAAGTCGTTTTTCGTAAAAGAGGAATAGCAAAAAAATCGGCGCGCTTTTTTTTTGAGGGCTTCTTTAACATTTTTAATTGCGGCACGTAGTAGTCGTTATTCTGCGCATTTTCGTCGCTGCCGAGTTGTGCGAGGGGTAGGTAGGAAGTACGCACTATTTTTTAGTGCGAACTTATTACGGCAGATGTCTCATAGCCATGTTCCAATAAAGAATAAGCGCCTATACCACCTACTACCACCGTCGTCAATTTTTTGCGCGCCGTATATTTTTAATAATCAGCGAGAAGCGGCGACGTGCTGACGTGTGTGTGTCTGTTTATGTGTGTACGCCCGACGACCCCGTGCGCAAAATTTGAACGGCCACTCGTTTGTTTTCGGATTTCGCGGTCAACAGTGCCGTGGTGCGATTGACATTTTTCTGTGTGCATCAAGCAGGCGGCGCACCACTATGCCCTGCAGAAAAATGCATTCGTAAATAAAAAAAAAATATGTCAGTGATGAAAAAAACAACAACAATAGCAACTCGATTAATTAGTTATTAATTGTTAATACTACTATGGATCGTCGTTATACCGCATAGTAATTCCATGAAGTCCGCTGGGATCTTAAGGTAAACAAACGCTTAAAAAATGTTTAAAAGCGATTTTTTTAGCTGGCCATGACATCACGCTTCTTAAAAAAAAAATAACCAACGATCGCAGAAGCCAACTAGTAGTCCACTTGCGATTAGTTGGCTATTTGCGTTTTGTCATTGTTTTAGTCTGTTCGTTGATTACAAAGTCGATGTTTACCTAGTTCGCTGCTGGTGTATTTGGGAGGCTAGTGCATGTCCGGGTTTTTTCGTGCGGGTTTTTAACCCTGACCGACGCGGTCGTCTCGGCGCATCCTTGACGTCGTCGTTTTCCCTTTCTGTAGCATTTTTAATGGAAGCCATATTCGCATACTTCCCCTACTCTTCTTGTAATAACCAATAAGTTTTTTATAGGGTTTATTTTTAATGATCCAACACGAAGTAGCGAACCGCTCTTCGTTGGTTTCTATGACTGCTATTTTTTGCACAATTCCGTTTATAATTTTTGCGAGCTAGCCACGTCTAACTGCTCCGTTGGTTCAAAAATTATTGCGAACCCGTGAAAGTATGTAGAAATGCAAGCAGGTTGGTGGAAAAGTTTTCGAGTGCATAAAAATTGTAAGAAAAAATACCAGGATTTTTGTTTAGTGAAATTAGTGTACGAAAAACAGTGAACGTTTGTTCGTTGAAAAGTTTGAGATGATTTTTTTCATTGCTGACGTAAAATTGTCAGGTAATATCTAATTAAAATAATGTATTTACTTTGTATGTTGCTTCTTCGTTCAACTCATATTTTAAAGTTTAAATACCCACCTCATACCTCGTTGTCCGCACCCTCTGGTTTTTCTTAAATGAAATCATTTGAATTAAGATTTAAGTGGTGCACTTATACAGATCAGTGGTGTACCTATATGGAATTGCATAAAAAAAAATTTTATAATTGAATAAGTAATTAACAAATTTTTAAAAATTAAAAATAATTGTAATTTTTTCAAAAAAGAAAAGTCTAGGTGTATAATAATTAATTGTTTTTTAAAAACAATTTATAAAATTATCAAGTGCATATAAAAATTTTTTTTTTAAGTAAAATGGCTTATGTTCTATTAAATTTATTTATAAGTTGCACTTATTTATAAACTGCATGTATATTGTAATGCATGAAAAAAATAGATATTTATAGTAAATTCAAAGTTCAAATTGTTTTTATTATTTTTTTTACATTCGTATATGAGTAAATTATATAGATCACGTCCATTTTCTACTTTTTTTGTTGACCTCTACTACCCCGATTAAATTTATTTTAACGAAATTAATTAATTTATATTATGATTAACTTTAATTTTTTGATAAAGTAGAATAACATTAAATTAATTCTAAAAAATTAAACCTAGTTGGGTATTTCTTTAGCAAGAAAATGAAACAATGTGAGTGCCTTTTATTATTTTTCATGTAGTTTACAGCCACTAGAACAGTCTCAATGACAGCCTTATTAAATCTAATGTTATAAATGTAATTGTTTTATCTAATTCTTATTTATAAAAGATTATTTATAGAAATAACACTCATATCAAGTTTTAAAAGTTCTACTTATATTTTCTTTGTTTTGTTAAAATTAGTTAATAGTACTATCAGTAGGGTACTAAAAATAAACTAAATTTATTTACTTATATAAGGAGTGTTCAAAATATTTCTGTATACATACATAGAAAACAGATCTTTTCCATCGTATTCCAAATACCAATCACTAGAGGATATTACAACTTTTAAAGAATAAATGATTGTAATATTTGTACGGATATGTAAGTAATAATTTAACAATACAAAACATTTCACTTTAAAGTTGCTCACAGTAAAATATTGGTAATAATTTTTTGCCCCCATTTAATCATTCCAATGAGACGCCTATGTATGTTTTACTCACTACGTCACGTGCATCTCCACCCCATTCCCCCACCTTTTTGTGTTTACATTTATTCTGACAAGGTTCAGGCGCAAGGCACCTGCAAATATATAATATTATTGACGTTTTCTCGTTTTCTGACACTTTTACACCCACATATTATCTGCAGTGTACTTGTGGAGTAATTTAATTTCATTAGTCCGCCTATTCAGGGTGGATTTGATGAGCCATAATGACAATTCTTAATGTTTTTTCAGTGTTTCGTGTCAAGTTTATTTACACAGTATCAATATAAATAGTGTTATCTGTTCTAATAAAGTGCAACAATAATTAATTCCATAGTTTATCTAGAAAATGTGGTCTAAACTGATTTATGTAAGTTGTTTTTCTAAATTAACTTGCTATAGAAAGTTAATCAAAAACGTCTTTGTTACTTGATTGTATTGTAATAATTATATATTTTTTTTATTCCAACAGAGCCATTAAACAGAAATGTAATTCTTCTGGTTAGAAATGCTACATTTACTGTATAGGTACTTACTAGTAAGTAAAAGTGGTTTCTGATCGACTATTTTTTTTCCAGGTGAAATACAGTGACAATGGTAGATACACAACATTTTTGTTTACGTTGGAACAACTACCAAAGCAGTATTACATCGGCTTTCGAAAACCTCCGTGATGATGAAGATTTTGTTGATGTTACTCTTGCCTGTGATGGAAAAAGCTTGAAAGCCCATCGTGTTGTTTTATCCGCTTGTAGTCCATACTTTAGGGAATTATTGAAAGTAAGATTATATACCGTCTCACATATAACACTAATAAGCCATTACAATTAAATTTTTAATACTTATGCTGCAATAATAAATATTTCTTTTTAGTCTACTCCTTGTAAACATCCTGTGATAGTCCTTCAAGATGTGGCATGGACAGATCTCCATGCCCTCGTGGAGTTCATTTACCATGGTGAAGTAAATGTTCACCAGCGCTCTCTGTCATCATTTCTTAAAACAGCTGAAGTGTTAAGAGTCAGTGGCCTCACACAACAACAGCACGGGGATGAACGAGAACCAGTAAGTAGCAATTTAAATTAAATATTCAAATTCATACAGAAAGTTTAGTCTACGTTGTACTATCCGGCGCCATCTATTGGCCAGTCTTCCAATAATTACTTCCCTTAAGATGCTGTAGTCGCAGATTTCTGTAAAGTATATATATTTATTTCATTCCTTAGTTTAATTGGTCAGTATTTTTTTATTTCTGATTTGCCTGAATAGATTCGTTATAAAATTTTAAGTTTATATAAATAGACATCTTTGAAATTGTCTTTTAAATACATTAATCTAATGCCCAATAGGTTTATATCAAGTTTAAGTACTACCCATTCTGTAAAAATTGACTTGGTTTCCTTTACATATATAGTTGTTTGCCTTTATCTGAAACTATCCCCTTTTTCAACATTGTTGGTCTCTCATTAATGATATTGTAACCATTCTAATATCTTGCAGTGTCCATTAGAAATATTTTTTTTCTTCCAGTTGACACAAGTCCAGGGCTTGGTGCGTTCGCAGCAGCCAACCCCTACCTCAAATCACCATCCCGTATTCCCCGACAAGCTAATGGAAGACTCCTTATTTACGTCACCTTCGTCACCATCGCACAGTACCACGATGAACCAGCTGTTGCGTCGTGCCGCGATGCAGCACCGTCGAGAACGACGTATCTCGTCCGATCCCGAGAGCGAACTTAAACGAGCGCGTTCCGATCACCTCCTCGCCAATAACAATAACAACAATAACGAAGTAAACCTCCCTCACCATCCGCCCCCTCAGACACAACCTGCCGATTTCTCGCCCAGCGCCATGAAAAACAACATTAACAACATCCTAAATTTGAATAATAGCAGCAGTACCGCCAATTCGATTGTCAATTTGCACATAAAAAACGATGTGGAAGGAAACGGGATCAGTAGTACGGAAAGGGAGTCGCCCTGTTCCCTATCGCCCTCAAACACATCGCGCACAAACAACAACGATGAGAACATGAAGTCTGAACCGATGGAACTCCTGTGCAGCACGAACCAGGAGGGTGACAACAGTAACGATTCGGCCGATGGGAACAATGACAGCATGCCTAGTAGCAATCTGCCGCAGGGAGGCCCGATGTCTACCAATTCAATGGGAGACCATGACGACCACGACAGCCCCATAGGACCCTACTTGACGCCGTCAGAGAGTAAATTGTTCGCCACTGCTGCAGGAACGTTCAATTTCAGTATGGCGGCATTAGCTGCCGATCCAACAGCCTTAGGGGGTAAGGAATACAATATTTTATGATAATTTTTCTTGTGATTGTGGTCCCATTCCATTATTACTACTAAAATAAGTAACAGTCCTACAAGATGCCATTATTGGAGCCATTTTGAATCTATCTTTTATTTAACTTCTGCTACTTTACGCCATCTTTTGGCAGTTTCCTATAAATATAATATATTTTAAAAGCATACTCTTATAAGTAAGTAGGTAGTTGCCCTATTTTAACGGGAGTTTTTCACAGGTAAAAATTGGTTGAGAAAAGTTATTGGAGGATAAACAAATTTCAATCAAATATATAACCTGAAAATTCAAAAAATAGAAAAAAAAATATTTGTTAAATTGTAAATAATTAAAAATTTGTGTTACAACTCATTCTTTCATTACAGGATTGAACCACACACTCCAGGCTAGTGCTGACAGTTTGGCGGGTACGTCTCAAGGTAAGATTTTTATTTTGTCTTTTTTATTAAGTTATTTGACGCAATAAAAAATGGATATATTTTAAAATCGAAAGTATATCTATTTCTCACAAGAAAAAAAGTTTCATAAATGTTGAATTTTCGTCGGTCTTAATATTTCTTTCTCATCGTAATGAATTTCGTCGTAATGTAATATTATTCATAATATGAATTATGCGAAAATCCAACAGTATTATGAAATTTTACTATAAACAATAATCAAAAGTCCATGCAACACATTAAACTGATAAGAAAATCCTTCTCGTTGACAGAAATTTAGAGAATATTAGGTAACTTGGCCTTCTGGTTATCAAAGTACATTTCAAACATTTAAATATCGTTTTGTATTATTTTTTGCTCTCTATACAGACACACATGTGAATATCATTATTTGTTACCGTGCAGTAAAAAGTTTTGAAATGTACTGACAGCATTTTGTATTTGGAATGTTTCTAACAATATTGTGTTTTGCGTGTGCGTGTTTTTTTATTTTTCGTTTTTCTTCTTACTTTTTTATTTCCTTTTGTATGGTTCAATTGTCAATCACTTAGTTATTGGGGAAGCCAATAAAATAATCAAACGGTAACTAACATTGCAATCAGTACCTCACTAAAACATACGAATATTTAATATTATTTATCTACAACAAAGAAAATATCTTCCATACTTGCGTTCAAAGGTAGTAAACAAACATTTCAACAGTATACTGCTTGTTAAATATACCGCTGTTATGTACGTTTTTAGAAAAACAAAAATGTATTCTATTGTATGTGAATTGTTTGTTAAGTAACTAGAATAGAATTAAATAAATACAATTAATTGCAATTTTCATTTCTGATGTTTATCGAAAATTCAATTGAGTGAAGATTGTCTTGCACATACAAAAACTACAAATGAAAATTGTACATTAAGAAAATGTGTGTAATATTTGATATGATATGTATATTTTTTAAGTAATTTAAATTAGTCAATTTATTGTATACATAATTCGGTTTATTAGCATTTTTCCAGAAAACTATAAGTAAACAGTAATACATATACTTTTTGTTATGATAAATGTTAGGGATATCATCTAAAAAAGTAATTATCATATAAAACATATTAACAAACTGTTTAATATGTTAGCAGGTAGTTTCTTTTCAAATTCGTATCAAATATGCATTATCCAATGCAACTTAAAATTCTAAACTTTTTTTTGTATTTTAACTTCTAAAAAGTTCATCCATTAGTAGATATATGCGACACAAAAGCAATGTTAAACTATTTTTAATTAAAATAGTTTTGAAGGATTATTTATAAACTAAAAATAATAAAAAAAGTAATTTGTTGCCAAACAAAGNCTAAAGTATGTATTAAAATAACAAAAATATTAAATTCACTACCCAGTTATGTAGATTAAGAAGGCCTCCAAATATTGGTTGAATAAAAAATAGTGATTTATAGTCATTTTTCTTGGCAACTACACCCGCCCATTTTCTAAATTTAAATGATCAACCTAGGACTAGAACAAGAAGCAATGTATTAATGGAATTGACTTATGTTTTATGATAATATTACTTGACTTCAAGTATTAGAATATTTTGGGAAATTTGAGAGGTCTTACTTTATTTATCTAGCAATTACAGTCAATTATTTTGCAATTTGGCATTAAAAAATACGAAAACAGCATATAATAGATTTAAAGAATAAATGAAGGGATTTATACATTGAATATGTAAGAAGGCTTTTGAGGGTCATGACTTTTAGGCAGTCCTGTCTAGTTATGCAGGATTAATTTCCAAATGTATGTATATTATATAAAATAGACTAATCTAGGGTGTAACCAATTCAAAGAAACTATTTTTAAATGCAGAGGCTTTTGTAGGTTTTACTGATAGTTAAGTAAACTGTTTGGATGCAACTGGAGGTATTTTTTACCAGACAAAAATCGAGAGCACACATACTAACTAAAAATTGACCCGAAACCGTTGTGTATTCGTTTGGGCTAATGTATTGAGGATTTGTACATAGCTTTGAATGATGATGATGATGATGAGGTGCGGCTAAGGGAGCTAATAAGCCCTTTCTGCCGCCAGGTGCTGAGGAGTTTCGGTGCCAGCCGTGCAACAAAAGCCTATCGTCGCTGACTCGGCTCAAGCGCCATATTCAAAACGTTCATATGCGTCCATCTAGGGAACCAGTGTGCAACATTTGTAAGCGAGTGTACAGCAGTCTCAATTCGCTACGAAACCACAAGAGCATTTACCATCGCAACATCAAAAACCTAAAGGCTGACGATTTTATACCGCCGCATTCTTTCTACCTTTGAATAATAAGGATTCGAGATAACAATGACCGAAAATAACATAACACTTGCTGGTGTTTCATTGCCGTTAATATGGCTGTCCAATTTTTAACTCTGCATCTTTTGTGACGTTGCGCATGCGTAACTACGAGTAGTATAATTAGCAGTCGCCATCTATTAGAACACACATATGTATATTTACCTAATGACGGTACTGGAATGCCAGCTCATGTAAATTTAAAAACAATAACGGTTCGTCCAATATCGTGCTTAATGTTTGTTCTATTACTAAACTATTACTACGTTCCTAAAGATAATTCTTTTGCTCTATAGTAGTACTGAAACAAGGCGATTATATAATAATTATTTATATATCGTACGGACTTGCATGTGTACTAAATATGAACAATATAACTAACTATTTTATAAGTTGTTTCGTTAAGACTGTAGATATATTTTCCAGTTTCTGTAAAGGTACAAAATGTAAACTTTTGTCGGTGACCTCTTGGCTTTAAAACATACCCAAGTGATTTCCCAAAAATGACTTTGTTTCTGTTTTTACTATTGATCTCAAAACGAAATTTTATTTTAAATTAATATTTGGGATGTCACTTTTTATTTGCTTTCGACCTTTTTTATATTTGTGACCAGATTTTAGTCTCCAAGTTGAAATTTTAAGCAGAATGATTTTTAAGTTCAAATTAAAATTTTTAAAAAAGAGCATGCAAATAAGTTAATTAATACATGATCAAATCAAATCATAATTATAATTAGTCAGATAATTTACCGAGGTCGAGTAGGAAAAAAAAAAGAAAAAGAAACCGAATGTGCGGTAGTACCAGATTAAATTTTAACTGAAAGTAGTAAAAGGGCTTTGTATGTTGTAAGCTGATTTTGTATTGTACTGATAGCTATAATACATATAAATATATATATATAGAAATGCTTGACTGACATTAGCGGGGGCCTAATTGGTGTTATGTGTTCCCGGTGGCAGAGAGAAGAGTGGACCTCCCCCTGCCGCTGACCGCCTCCCACCGGTGTGACGTGTGTGGAAAGCTACTAAGTACCAAACTGACCCTGAAACGGCACAAGGAACAGCAGCACCTTCAACCCCTCAACAACGCTATTTGCACACTGTGTCACAAAGTATTCAGGACTTTAAACTCCCTAAACAATCATCGCAGTATCTATCATCGTAGACAGAAGTGAAAGTGTCTTCATCAGCCACCGTATGTTCACGGTAGTGTCTGATTTTTTTCCGTTAATCAATCAATAGCATAACCACATTAAGCCCCCGCTACACCACCTTATTATATATTTTTTAGGACAGGTCAAGCTAATCGTCCATGTGAATATAATGCATATAAACATATACCTATATAAATAAATATAAATATTGAAGTTTTTTAAATAGGGTTTTGTTGTAGCTCGCGCGACAACTTGAAGGGCTTATAGTTAGTTATTACCGATTATGATTTGCGTGTAATCTTTTCAGGCGTTTTTTATTTATCAGGAAATAGTGAACGATTAAAAATTGTTTAACGAAATTTTAATTTTGATGACACAGCAGACGACGATTTCCTGAAAAATAAAAATTTACTGAACTTTTATTGACAAAAGTGATTGATTGGTTTATCAAAAATATTTTTAATTCGAACTATATTAACTTTTTAAACTACAAATTATTTCATACTTTTGACTTCGGCTCTGTGANTGCTCGTGTTTATAATATAATTTAACATTTTTAATTATATTCTTGATCCAAAACATCCTGAAAGTGTTTCTTTACAGAAACATTTACACACTTTCATGGTGCATGTCTTTTTTTTTTTTTTTCGTAAAAGTATGTACTTTATAGAAAATACTAGCTGGTTTAGAATTTTTTTAATTGCCAAATTGTTTTATGCCAGTTACGTGTTATACATTGTCAATATAAAATAACAAAACAAAAAACCAAAAAGCCCCCTCCCCGGTCCGACACGTTGCAGCATTGCCACCAGAAGACAGACTGTGAGCGGTACGGAACGGCGGCGCGTGGCGGCGACGAGCGGCTACTTCGCCTGGCGGACGCCAAGCAAGCTGCGGCTGAAACAAAGCACGCTAGGCCTGATTCACGTGTATTTTCGAGAGCACACGCGCTCGCGCTCATTTGTTCTTATGATACTATTTTTTTTTCAACCACCTCACAACCTAATAGTAACCGCTAAAACAAATTCTATGGTGCATTTATACAATTCTAAACAATCTAATTTTAAATTAGTTGATGACAAAGATTAAGTTACAATCACTGTAACATTATCTTCGTCTTTGCATGTTTATTATATTAGTTACAGTCAAAATTTATAAAAAGGCAGCAAGAATGTGATTTGGTATAGATAGGTGTTGGGCCTAGCGCCGCGGCTGACCCTTGCACGTTTGCGCGAGCGTATAACTAGTAGCGCGCGCAGGCGTGCAAGCGGACCTTACCGCGCGCGGGCGTCTGCTGGTGGCACTGCGCGCGCACGGACCTAGCGAGCTTGGTTTTGCTGTTGCAGGGGCGTCCCCCAAGAAGGTGTTCACTTGCCAGCTGTGCGGTAAGGTGCTGTGCTCAAAGGCGTCCCTGAAGCGGCACATTGCGGACAAGCACGCCGAACGACAGGAGGAGTACCGATGCGTCATATGCGAGCGGGTGTACTGTTCCCGGAACTCGCTCATGACGCACATCTACACGTACCACAAGTCCCGGCCTGGAGACATCGACATAAAGTTCTTTTAGCCTCCCCGCTTCCCAGGTATACGTACACCATCATCACCACAACCCTTCCACCACCACAACCACCCGTGCTCGCTTGTTAGTTTGAGTTGCTTCTGTGTGGGTTGGTTGGTTATGAATATTGCTGGCATGTGGTGTTTGCGCGTGCATCCCCGTCTGATCCCGGCCTGTTGCAGGCGCTACCACCACCGCTGCCGGCATGCGAATGCCGCCCCCGACATCGGGCGGAATCAACGAGCCCCAGGAGTGCCCTTATTGTCGTCGCACCTTCAGCTGCTACTACTCCTTGAAACGTCATTTCCAGGACAAACACGAGCAGTCCGACACCCTCTACGTGTGCGAATTCTGTCATCGACGTTATCGTACCAAGAATTCACTCACAACACACAAGAGTCTACAGCACCGCGGCTCCAGCGGCATGCTCAAGCGCCTGCTCAAAACGTCTGCCATCAAGAGCGTCCTAGCGGCACAGCCACAACCGCCACCCCCGCGCCTACTATGACCATTGACCACTACTACTACTACCACCACTTCTTCGCCACACACGTTGCCGCCACTGTCGCCGCCGTGCTCCCGTCAACCGGCCTAAAAACAGCCTACACGGTGACGAAACGATTGATAACAAATCATAACATTATATACATATAACGATCAAATTATCACTACTGCTGCTACTACTGTTATTATTAATAATCATCTATTCCTACTTATTATTGCGTTTAAAATAGAGGTAATCACGACCTAAAAAAATCATCTTGTTATTTCTTGAATGTAGGGGAAGAACAACTTGCTCCTTAATAAATAATTTCGGACATGTTAACAAAAACTAAAGCGGCCAATCTGCTCAAAACTGATAAGGATTTACTTACCACAATTAGAAAGAAATTAATAATTCAATGAAACTGACACAACCTGCTAACTTTTTTTTCATTATCATAAATTCAAGTGGAGTGTTCCATTTTCTTTTTAATAGTTTTATAATTGTAAATATTTAGGTGTATTTTAGAAACATTAAGCTTAAAATTCTGGTTTACAAAATTCTATATTAGCATTAATACTTTTCGTTATGTAATCAACACTTACACTTAACTCCTCCTACAGTTTGCTATGTTTACTCGTTTAAAGTTTTTTACAGTTGTACGTTTACAATGACATTTTATGTTTGCAGACTTGGAAATATCTTTTTCTGTATTTGATAATATTCTCGAAAATCTAAATTTTAAATCGTCATTTTTTATATTTCTACCAAATGTTGAAAATTTCGTGGTTGGTTATATGTATTATGCAAGGTAGTATAGTCACAATTTGAAAAAATAACTGAAAGGAATACATTCAGGATTTTAACAAATCCATTTAATTGAAGTTTTGAAGAACTGATGCAACCTTTAAGGTATTTGTTAAGACTGAATTGTTTGATTTGGGACTGATTCGGTAAGATAAATAAATTTAAAATATGAAAAATTGGCAACCCCACTGCCCTGTGTATTTTATAGTTTTGCATTTCGCATGTTCATGTTGTTTGATGCAATATACCATATTTTATGTATTGTTGTATAACCTTAATTATTTATGTTGAAATATATTTTTACACGGCAATGTAGCTAGAGTTTTATTTGCTTTGTTCTTTAGACTCATATTTATTATCTTATAAATGCAAAAAGTAATTGGCATAAAACCAAAGAAATATATTTTGTCTATTGCTCGTGTTTATAATATAATTTAACATTTTTAATTATATTCTTGATCCAAAACATCCTGAAAGTGTTTCTTTACAGAAACATTTACACACTTTCATGGTGCATGTCTTTTTTTTTTTTTTTCGTAAAAGTATGTACTTTATAGAAAATACTAGCTGGTTTAGAATATTTTTAATTGCCAAATTGTTTTATGCCAGTTACGTGTTATACATTGTCAATATAAAATAACAAAACAAAAAACCAAAAAGCCCCCTCCCCGGTCCGACACGTTGCAGCATTGCCACCAGAAGACAGACTGTGAGCGGTACGGAACGGCGGCGCGTGGCGGCGACGAGCGGCTACTTCGCCTGGCGGACGCCAAGCAAGCTGCGGCTGAAACAAAGCACGCTAGGCCTGATTCACGTGTATTTTCGAGAGCACACGCGCTCGCGCTCATTTGTTCTTATGATACTATTTTTTTTTCAACCACCTCACAACCTAATAGTAACCGCTAAAACAAATTCTATGGTGCATTTATACAATTCTAAACAATCTAATTTTAAATTAGTTGATGACAAAGATTAAGTTACAATCACTGTAACATTATCTTCGTCTTTGCATGTTTATTATATTAGTTACAGTCAAAATTTATAAAAAGGCAGCAAGAATGTGATTTGGTATAGATAGGTGTTGGGCCTAGCGCCGCGGCTGACCCTTGCACGTTTGCGCGAGCGTATAACTAGTAGCGCGCGCAGGCGTGCAAGCGGACCTTACCGCGCGCGGGCGTCTGCTGGTGGCACTGCGCGCGCACGGACCTAGCGAGCTTGGTTTTGCTGTTGCAGGGGCGTCCCCCAAGAAGGTGTTCACTTGCCAGCTGTGCGGTAAGGTGCTGTGCTCAAAGGCGTCCCTGAAGCGGCACATTGCGGACAAGCACGCCGAACGACAGGAGGAGTACCGATGCGTCATATGCGAGCGGGTGTACTGTTCCCGGAACTCGCTCATGACGCACATCTACACGTACCACAAGTCCCGGCCTGGAGACATCGACATAAAGTTCTTTTAGCCTCCCCGCTTCCCAGGTATACGTACACCATCATCACCACAACCCTTCCACCACCACAACCACCCGTGCTCGCTTGTTAGTTTGAGTTGCTTCTGTGTGGGTTGGTTGGTTATGAATATTGCTGGCATGTGGTGTTTGCGCGTGCATCCCCGTCTGATCCCGGCCTGTTGCAGGCGCTACCACCACCGCTGCCGGCATGCGAATGCCGCCCCCGACATCGGGCGGAATCAACGAGCCCCAGGAGTGCCCTTATTGTCGTCGCACCTTCAGCTGCTACTACTCCTTGAAACGTCATTTCCAGGACAAACACGAGCAGTCCGACACCCTCTACGTGTGCGAATTCTGTCATCGACGTTATCGTACCAAGAATTCACTCACAACACACAAGAGTCTACAGCACCGCGGCTCCAGCGGCATGCTCAAGCGCCTGCTCAAAACGTCTGCCATCAAGAGCGTCCTAGCGGCACAGCCACAACCGCCACCCCCGCGCCTACTATGACCATTGACCACTACTACTACTACCACCACTTCTTCGCCACACACGTTGCCGCCACTGTCGCCACCGTGCTCCCGTCAACCGGCCTAAAAACAGCCTACACGGTGACGAAACGATTGATAACAAATCATAACATTATATACATATAACGATCAAATTATCACTACTGCTGCTACTACTGTTATTATTAATAATCATCTATTCCTACTTATTATTGCGTTTAAAATAGAGGTAATCACGACCTAAAAAAATCATCTTGTTATTTCTTGAATGTAGGGGAAGAACAACTTGCTCCTTAATAAATAATTTCGGACATGTTAACAAAAACTAAAGCGGCCAATCTGCTCAAAACTGATAAGGATTTACTTACCACAATTAGAAAGAAATTAATAATTCAATGAAACTGACACAACCCTTTTATGGTTGCGGTATTGTATGCATTTAGCAGTTGTAAACTACCTCTCTGTACATACAGAGCAATGTTTTAGTTGATAATATTTTTTGTACTTATACCTATTTTTAAAACCGTGCTTGCCTACTAGGCATTCCTGTCCATAATTTTTTTCTTCTAATGCAAACAGTCCTTTAAATCATTCTAGTAGGTCTTCTCATCATATTGGTCCCTACTTAACTAATTGCCGTTACAATAATAAAAAACAATTTTTAAGGAGAATAGTTATTAGTTTTACTAATAATATGAATAAATCTTAGCCTGATAGTCATAGATTTCTAAATTTTTCAGAAATGCGCATTTGAAAAAAAATAATTGATAATACATTAACAACATCAGCTTATTCTCATGATGAGGAATAATGAAGCAACGTAAAAAAAAATTAGAAAATCAGCACGAATACTGATTTTGTTAAAATGTCCTGTTGCCGCAAGTACAAAAACTCAGAGTTTAATGTAGAATATATAATATAAGATATAAAACATAATTTTTATTGACCTTTACACTTTAATCTATGTCGAAATTATACAGTTGTAGGTTCGCGGTGTCAAATAAATCGAAAGTAGGAGGTATAACATATCTTGACAGAAAAATATCATTCATATCACATATTGCAGACCATTCATATTAAAAAAAATAATGACCTATTCGGGTTAGGTCTGTGCATTTTTAGATAGAACATTCCCTCAAATTCACTGTGATTCAGTTTGCCCCTTTGCTGTTTTGGTTTGATTGATCTTGGGCACACTTTTGCATTTAAAAAATAAGTAATGAATAAAAAAAAATGCTATTGATTTCATTCTCCTAATGGTATTTGTTGTCTTTAATGGATAGATGTTAGATGATAGTCAAATTCAAGGTAAAAGTGTGCATATTTTCGTTAAGGATTGAGGTAAATGGTTTGAGACAAAGAAGGCGTTCGGAATAGTAAAGCATTAGGGAAAATCACATATTTTTTTAATTAATTCAAAAGAATGTACTTTTAGTATATGTAAGCTGGTTAACTGTGAGTTTTACATCTACATATCTTTCCAGGGTTTTTAATTATTGTAGTTAAAATGTGCCAATTTTGAATTTCTGTTTGGCTGATGTTGAAAAATTGAATGTTATTAGTAAACTGATCAGGAATCAGGAAGTTTAATGATGATGATGATGATAATATAAATTGCAGGACCTTTTCACTCCACGTTTAATGCTAAATTATCTGTCTGTATTATGTAATTATTAAAAATGCCGACTTAGATGTGATGTCGCTGCATATCATGTGTAAAAATGTTCTTAATTTTGAATTCAGATAACAATTCTGGATATTTAGTTTTTGTCAATAAATGTAGGGTGAAAAAGGAAATGTTAACGTTAGTTATGTATTGTATAAAGATGTACAATCTGATATGGGGCACGGTTAGAAGAGATTCGGCAGTACAGTGTAATGACTGTTTTTATGTGCTGTGAAACGCGTTTAGATTACAGAAATTATTTATTTGATTTGATTATTTGTGATAAGGTTGAACCAAAGACGATTTTTTTGATTTTTAAATTAGAACATAAAAGGAATTTAGTTAGTCTTACGATTAGAAATTTGAAATTTGAAAATATTTTTTTATACTACGTGCCATAGATCAGACACAAAAATATGGTAATGGATGAATGAAAAAAAGTTTTAAATATATCTGTAGAATTCGTGTAAGTGTAACTGGAAATATTAGTAGCATATCTGTTTGTGCACACAATGGATGGAATAAAGAGCAAAAAATGCGGAATGTTGCAAATGACGTCGTCGATATGTTTTAGGTCACTTTCAGGTTTCAGTTATGACTTAAATAATAATATGTGATAAGTTAATGATACAGGCAAAATTATTTAGTTTCTATCCGTTTCTTGAAAAGATTTGACACTGATTAGGTATACTTGTAAACTAGGCTAGAACACGAAATGTTTGCTGTTTTTTGATTTTCGTTTTTGAATTGACTCGCATATCTTACATGCCAACTTTAATATTATACAGATTTAGAGAATTATATATTTAAAAAAAAAATTAAAGTCAGTATTAAAAATTTGTACCTAACTGTAGGTAGAAATTTAGATATTTTATAAAAATTTTGAAGGTCGACTTCTAAGAAAATTTTTGAATACTGCAAAAAAATATGGAATTGCAATGTTTGGCATGTTGTGGGTTTTGCCTGGGGGTTCAGAAACATACGAAGCAATTTCTGTTCAATAAAAAACAACTGCTGTTCAACTTTTCCATTATAAATTAAACAAATACTTTTAATTGAAAAATATGCATAACTTTTATTTGTTACAACAAAAATGTAGATAAGTATGTGGATGAATGTATTTTTGAAAAGATTTTGAAATTAACAGAAATTGTCTCCTCTTGCAGTTGAAAAAAAGAATAAAGAGAGGATAAATTCTTCTTGTTGTCCGGAATGTCGGTAATATGTTAAAAAAGATGGTGTCAGTATCTTATAATGAAACAAGATGCCTTGATACAGTACAACATGTGTTTTATAAATCTCAAGCGTCGTCAAAATCGCTGTTAATACCTCATAACTCAGAAATACCCACAGGTGTACTTACTTATATTGTATCTTACAATTAGTAGATTAGAAAAACGTAAACATTAGTTTTTTGCCTATAATTTGTAAATATATTCTATTGTTTTTACGATCGCATATTTTTAATATATTATAAGGGCGTATAAGTGACTCAAAAAGCAGTNTTTCCATGGAATTCACGAAATTACTCCCCATAGTCCTATATACACACATACCGTGCTAAGATGTTACATATCAACAGCTAACCAACCAATAATTTGCAATTAATTCCTTTTCAAATATGATTTTAACATCATTTATAAGTCTTTTAAAATTATTATTATTTTTACTTTTGTTATTTAAACTTATGAATATATAGTAATATAATTGTTGGTGTAATAAAAATCATAAAATTAGATCTCCTGAGTTTTATTCATAGTAACTTCCAAAAAATGTACAGGAAATCCCTAGAAATGGAAAAGTCGAGAACAACCTGTCAACATTTCTTAATATAAATTTTCGTTTCATTTAAGTCCAGAAAATATTTAACACCACTTTAGCTGTATATAAACAGAACGCTATGTATAAAAAGAGTAAATTTTACCACCGCCATGGCAACCTTCATTCACACCACAACAAATACACTACTAATAAATAGTTACAGTAGTTTAAAGCCCTTTTTTATTTAGTGAAATGATAAGCGGCTTATAATTAAATTATGGTCAACTATAAAGTAAGAATCACATTAGTGGGACCATCAAAGGTAATTTTTTTTAATTTTGTAGAATATGAAAGAAAACATTACAAAATATCTTATATGCATGTACCACCATATTTTAGAGTGGAAAAAGTAAATTAGCTAATTACATAGCCGATATTAATTGCAAACTTCCTGAAGAATTACATCCCACAAAAGGCCTGCGGATTTTAGAGTATGACATCAATAATGTCAAAATCAGAAATGAAAAATCGACTGTTGATGTTCAACTCTGGGATACAAGTGGAAATGATGAGTAAGTTTCCTTTAAAATTATTTTTTTAAATATTTAATGTAATTTAAATACCAAGTTTCCCTCTTACTTTTTAATGATAGATAATATAAATACACAACTCGTTTCAAACGATTAGAGATGCTTATTCTCATGATGAGGAATAATGAAGCAACGTAAAAAAAAATTAGAAAATCAGCACGAATACTGATTTTGTTAAAATGTCCTGTTGCCGCAAGTNATGTAATTTAAATACCAAGTTTCCCTCTTACTTTTTAATGATAGATAATATAAATACACAACTCGTTTCAAACGATTAGAGATGTAACCTTGAGGAAAGCTGCTCGAATAGAAAGAATACACACTAGGCCTGAGTAAGACAGAAATACTTTGAACGAGATAAAATATGGTTCAATTTGGAATTTTGTCACGAGGCATTCAGGTAAAGGGAAGGGGCATATCTCCAACCGTTTGAAATGAGTTGTAGATGTATTTTTAAACAATTTAATTAATTTATTTATTGATAGGTATTCCCAATTTTGGCCAGTATTCAGTGCAAATACTGATGGTCTCGTTTTTATACACTCAAATGATGAAAATGCACCCAAAAAACTAGATTTATTGTATAATTACTTTGTGAACCAAAAGAACATAAGTCCTCGAGTCTGTCTTGTATGTTCATTTTCTTCAGAAGAGATTAAGTACAACCTCTGTAATTTTTTTTCCCATAAAAACATTTATTTATTAGCTAACTTACTTATTTTTAGCCTCAAAATTTTCTAAAATAGCTCAAATTAATGTGGATTTGGAAGGGGAAGGAGAAAAATTCAAACAAGAATTTCAAAAATATGTTTTATCTGTTGTCAATAATCTTGACAATCAATAACAAAATAAAACAGGAAGAAGACTTCCACTACTTCTATAAAAGTATAAGGAGCAGTAATATTTTTTTTATCTTAAAAATACTTCTAAAAGGTAGCATCTACCGGAAGACAATTTATCTTCTAATTTTATCATATCTGCAGCTTTTTCTGCTATCATTACAACAGCGGCATTAATATTGGCACTAGGTAGAGTCGGCAACACGGACGCATCCACTACAAATAATTTATTGGTATTTTTGACTTTAAAATTATAATTGACGACGCTTTTTTCGTTTTTACCACCTAAGGAGCACGTACCCACTGGATGGTAACTAGTTAAAGTAAAATGTCTTACATAGCACTCCCAGTAGTTCCTAGAATCAAACGTATAATTTTCGCATCCTGGAAACTTTTTGTCGTTTAACTTAGCCCCGAGTCTGCTAAGTGGTTCTGTACCTATGATTTTTTTAATTAATTCAATCCCTTTTAGCAATATTTCTACATCGTATGGTTCAGATAAGTAATTTGGATCTATAAGAGGTTTACTGTAAGGATTATTGTCCTGTAATCTTACAGTTCCCCGACTTTTTGGGTGAAGGACAACAGGAATTATGCTTACGGTGGTTTTATCTTGAAATAATTCAAAATAATGCGTCCAAGCAGAATCTTTTAAATTTAAGGCATGTCTTAAATGAGCCCCAAAGTCTGCAGTTATTCCAGTTGGTAAGACCATTATTTGTAAATCAGGGACGCCATTTCCTTTGGTGTCTATTACACCTATTACTTCACAGCCTATGGAGGTCCAAGGGCCTCTTTTATGAAATATATATTGAAAAGCAGACACAGGTGATAATAAATCGGATAAACTCAAACCTACGCTTTTATTTAAAACAATCAAGTCTAAACCAGTTGTGATATGATCTTGTAAATTATCACCCACTGGTAAATCGGTCACAAGAGATACATTTACCTTTTCTAAGTGATCTTTAGGTCCTACACCAGATAACATAAGTAATTTTGGAGACCCTACTACGCCTGCGCTTAAAACAATGCCTTTTCTAGCGTTTACAATAAATTTATTTCCAAAATGACTGTATCTAACACCATAAGCTTCATAATTGCCGCTAAACAGTATTTCTTCAACAAAAGCATTTGTTTTTATAATAACATTATTTTTTGAATAAAGTAAATGGTGAGCTGGACTCCATCGACTTCCTGATTTTATGTTGGCCTGTACCTTCATAAAACCTAAGAAATGTATAAAATTTATTAAAAAAGACCAATGTTATGTAATTAAAATGTATGTAGGTTGTATAATAGTTGCCAATGATGTGTAATATTTAACATCAGTAACGAACAAAATATTGTTTTCACAAAGTAAGCATAGGTGCATAGCAGAAAAACGGTTTACAGCTGTAGTTTTTTTCTCTTTCTCCCTTTTTCTCTCTCAAGCAACAAGTGTAAGCCGCATCAATTGAATAACCTGCGCTCCCTCCCTTCCGCTTCCGGTTACGCGTTTCCATGGAATTCACGAAATTACTCCCCATAGTCCTATATACACACATACCGTGCTAAGATGTTACATATCAACAGCTAACCAACCAATAATTTGCAATTAATTCCTTTTCAAATATGATTTTAACATCATTTATAAGTCTTTTAAAATTATTATTATTAACTTAGTGTTTTTGATTAATTAAGGATCATTTAATAAATAAATAAACAAGTCTTTCAAAATAGCCATTCCAACAAATAATCATGTAATTTTTTTAAAAATTAATTATTACCCCTATTCTCTCCTCCATTTAAGTCATGTATTGAGAAATTTAATGATGAGACGGCATCTAAGAAATGTTGTGCAAAGGGTGTAATAAAAGGTAAATCATCTACTGCAAGGGGACCTCCAGTTGAATGTAACTGAGCTGTAAAATCAATTGTTTTTTAAAAATAAAACAAATTTATTTTAAAAACTTGCATGATTTGTACCTTCCTCTTTGATCTTCAGCTTTCATAAAATATGAGAGGATATGCTTCTCATATAAATAATTAGAATCATTTTTAAACCAGCTTTTAAAATCACTTGGATGTCCCCTTGCATATATCATGCTATTAAGCCTACTTGTGCCACCATAAATGCTACCCATTGGCCAATTTGATATCTGAAAGTTAAAATTAAAAGGTTCAATTGTTATAAGTATATTACAATTATTTGGTCTAACCAATATTAGTGACAATTACATTGTTCTTTAATGCCCAACCACCATGCTTTTGGGGTACTGTACTATAATGCCAATCTACTAATGATTTTTGTAACAATGGAGTTAAACCAGGAATATCAAATAATATCCCAGCACAAATTCCAGCTTCTAAGACAAGGACTGTATTGTTGCTGTTTTCTGCCAAACGTAATGCTACTATACTTCCTGCTGAACCACTTCCAACTAAAATGATTAATAATTGAAATAAAAAAAAACTTTTGTGACTTCTAAGACATACCTACAATATAATCGAACTCATTTATGATTTTTTCTGGCAACAAATAGTTTGAAAAATATGTAAACATCCATTCTTTTAAAATGCACATAAAAATAAGCATAAAAATGATAAAACTAACGAAAGGAAATCCGCACCTTATCGCAAACGATGTTAAACTAATCATTACTCAAGTAAAATATAAATCAAAAACCAAAGCGATTTTATTATTTTTTTAAAAAATTCAATACATAACCCCTTTCAGCCGGTACTGCTTGACATTGACAGTTCTCACGTGCTTAATTCATTGACATTACAATTGTTTAGGATAAAAGTTCAGGTTCGGAATTACAGTTAATTAAGTCGAATGATTAAATGAAGCGGTATTATGATTACAAGTATAATATATTTTAGTAAGTATAACTTAATATCAAACATCTTTAATTATCAATGTGGCAATTAAAATACCAAAACAATATATTTATTTATATAATAATACATAATTTATGCCTTTATTTAGACAAATTCTTAATGAATATTAAATTTTAGTAACTGAATTTGTTTGGACATAATATTAAAAGGATTTTGTTCAGTCCTGTCTCATTCTCATCACATACCATGCTAATAAACTGATTTTTAGACTTTACTTCTGTCCGCCCCTGCCGTGCTTCTGTCATAATATTTTGTCGCCTGCAGTCTATGTTACTAACGCTTTTTTTTACAGTATAAGATTTGGACCATGCAATTATAAACTTTTAACTATAATTTTATTAATTATCATGAAATAAATGTGGACATAGTGTTCTTTAGTTAAAACCGAAATAGTTACTATGTAACTTCTTATTAGTGATAGTGATAGTGGTTGTTGCTTTTGCATGGGATTATAAGATTGAAAAGGGTAAGAGAATAAGTAAACGTTACACTATTATATATTATCTTATCGTTTTTAATTTGTAGTAATTATGTTCTTGGCTTATTTTCTAAATAATATTACAATTTTAGGGCATCAAAATGGATATGATATCCGTATATAACCTTAAATTAAAGGCCTTATTGGAGAAATTACTGGAGTCGCAATTACAATTAAAAGATGATAGAAACATTAATATACTCCTGTCTTACTTATCTGGTAAAGATAACGCAGGTCAGCAGCTTACTTAAACATTGATGTTGATATTGACCTTCATTTAGAGCAAATACCTAACTTGGCAAATGTCTTCCACCATAATTACTATTTATATCAAAATTTAAAGATAAAATCCCTTTTTGATGGCGTATCACACATTATTTATTAATCTCCCTTATAACTAATAGTTTATATTTATAATTTGCTATTAGTGGGAAAAATTATAAATAATATATCTAATATAGAAAAATATAAGAAATCGCTACAGAATGAAGTGGTATAGAAAATATAAAAATAGACAGTGTTTCATTAAGAAAGTAATGTTTTAAAGTTGACTAACATTGACATTAAATTTTCAATGTTTACCTATAAACACTAACATTGCACGGAATTTTATCCTAAGGACAGAATTTTATTTTAATTTAAAATCCATTTAACACATTCATTTACTTACCTAAATTTGTTTTTTTTTCAGAGTTGGGAGAAGCATTGCTTAATTTACCCATATTAGTAGAATGGGTTCAAAAAGCAGTTGAATATTGGGAATCGTTAAATAATCCAGCCTTACCTGTTGTTTTATCGTTTACGTTTAATTTAACCGCGTTATTGGTAAAATGCGAGTATAGATTTTACTTGTTCTCCTCAAAAGACTATATTTTAAGACTATGCAATATCTTAAAATCAACAGTACCACTTCCTCCTTCAAACAAATTAGCATACATTAAATTATTAATCAGTTTGACATCACATAAACCTGGTCTAAACTGGTTGATTACATCACAATTTTGGAAAGATGGTGTTAACTTTTGTTTTACATCAGAGACTGTTTACGTACAAAAAGAAGCATACACATTTGTGTACTGTCTCTTAAAGAATAGCACCGAAGCATGTGATCATTTTTGTTCCATTGTAATAAAACAAATTTTAAGTCAACTGATAAAACCAAGCAATCAAAATTTAAATTGTATCAACGATCTTTCAGCAGTACAAGAAATAATTCACATTTTAAAACTCGTAACCTTTATACTTCAGTCGTTCATTAAAGATAAAACATTTACACCCCAAAGACTCAAACTTCCTGCAATCTTTATAAAAGATATTAACTTAGAACAAATTATTTGTAACCTCATGTTAACTCTAAGGGAACCCGAATTTTACCATGAACTGGCTAGCTTGATGTTGGTTTTAAATCATTTAAGTCTGATCATAGAAAATCAAATTGATTCAATTCCTACAACGGAATTAAGAAAATTGTACGTAAAAAATTTACAGCTTCTAACAGATCACATGAACACTTGTTCAGTTGATCAATTTCTTGTGATGTGTCATAACGGAGAACTTTACTGGAATGTTCTGCGTCCTCATTTGCCCAAATTAGATGACATAAAGGCTAATAAATGCGATATGTCGATGTTGTATCTCATCATTCATTCAGTTCCACTTTATTCATTAGCAATTACATCTTGTTCAAAAAGTATTATAGAAGAAGAAGACGAAATAAAAGAATTGTTCTATGAAGAAGTGATAGCCTCCATGTGTGAATCCACCTTACGAACAGTTTACAAAATTAGAGACAAGTGTATTAAAGACGAAGATCAACTCTTTTACATCTGTTACAAGTGTTTATTAAATGTAGAAAGATGTCAAATTTTCTATGATAAACCTGAAGCTACTTCAATATTCCGTTGTGTATGCCATTCATACAAAGACATTATCGTTTCTTTGAAAGATAAATCCGGATTAGTTTCAAAGTTTATGAACAGAGAAAATTTCCTATGCACCATCATGAACGTTATCACGAAATTCGTTACCAATTTCGACATTACGTGGACCGATGCATTTGAAATAGTCTGTTTAATAGATGCCTGTCTGGACTATCTTAATTTTATGAACTGGTCCCCTAAGGTATGTCTTCCTAGTTACAAAAGGTTTTCAGTTAATTATTAAGTATTGGGATAATTTAAGAAAGTTAAACAATAAATATTACTGTTCTATCTTAACAGATTGCTTTGGGAAGTTTAAAAATGCTTAGAATTTTAATATCGAAAGGTATGACACCTAGCATGGTGCTGTTGTCTGATCAGGCTTACGAAACACCCCTTGCTACCGTACCAGTGATTCTTTACAACAAATTGCACGATCCAAACTGGGAAATTAGGGACACATCTCTCGAAGTTCTGCACACTTTAGCTATTATAGCTCAAGACAGTAAGTCATCTAAATCATAAGTTTAAATAAAAATAAGAACTGAATTGTTTTAGAATTTCCATCGTTTCAAAATATAATAATGAGTTCTAATGTAACTTCTTTGTTAATTATAATTTGTACTGGCGATGGAGAAAGTTACGTGAGGGCGAGTGCTTTAAAGTGCTTACAAGAACTGGCTAAAATTCAACAAATTTGGACAAAAATTCTTGTAAACGAAAATTTACCTGTAAGTTGTTACTAAAAAAAGGTTTTTACAATTTTTACATTAAATTCTGTTTTGTTACAGAATAAAGTCGTAGAGATATTTGAAAATGAAACGGAAGCAATAGTTCGCAGCGAAGCAGCAACCTTAATGGAAGTGATATATCATTATCATACCATCCAGAGTGAGTTGTTGCATCAGGTGTATACTGTAATGTACTATGCAGCGACTATGGACCTTCACTGGGAAGTACAGGTGAAAGCTTTGGGCTTTTGGCAAACATTGATTTTTAAACAGCTGGTAAACCAAGGTATGATTGATGGCACGTTTCCTAGCGTTACGTTTTCAAAAGAAAACCGTAAAATTGTCACACTAACCGAAAAAGAAATCCAATCGCGTCTTATCAAAGTTTTACACTATTTAAGCAAATGCGGCTGCTTAGCCGTATTATTAAATGCAATGCATGAAAGTTCCGATCTTGCTGTCAATAAAAAGGCTGTTAAAGTGACAAAAAAACTTCTCGAAGTTCTTAGGAACCACAGCATCATTCCTTCATCGACAATTAAGTGCGATAGTCCTTCATCACCAGTCTGTTCTCTTAATAATGACATTTTCGAAGTGAAACTTAACTCACCAACATCTTTTGCTAATTGTTCGTTACTTTCTGATAACGTCATAAACCAAATAGTAAGTTCACATGATTCAAGCTTACTCTCGAACGTTTATGTGTGTGACTCGTCAAAAGCTTTAACGAGTTCAAATGTTGTTAAACAAGAAATTAAAGTGGTACCTCCTTTTGAATTTCTCGAATTCACTAAGAGGGATTTGGATCTGCTCATTGTGGAGAGGCAGCAGTGGTTGAATAAATTGAACGATTTGACGTCACTTCTTGATGATATGTTGAAGAATTATGGCGATTTTAATTATGTAAATGAGATGGATTGTTATTAGTTTTTTAAGTGTAATTTTCTTGTAAGTTGATTCATACCTAGGTAGGGATATTATTTTATATGCAAGAAAACATTAAAATATCAAAAAATCACTCAGATTAATGCAAATAAATTTTTATTACATGTTTTATCTGCATATCACTTTCAACAAACACAACAAAAACAAAAAAATAAGAATGAAAAACACATTGTTAAATAGAAAATGATAGTCTTTTTTTAATCACAGTTTACGAGAATGTAAAATCCTGAAATCTTTTATTATTTGCTTGACATACCTTCTTAAATTTTAACCCTTTAATGACACTGCTCCTATTACCCGGTTTTTCGATGCGTCCCTTATAGATCTTTTGTTTATTTCGGGAATTAAAAGAAGAGTACGACTCCTGAACACTAACGGGTGGTAAAGATGAATTTTGTAAATCCAAAAGTTCATTCTCTGTTAAACGAGGAGCAGAAGGGAGAACTCTGCGAAGAATTATTACAGCTCTACGTTGTTTCGTGTCTTCTGGCCTTACACAGTGTGTAATTTCATTAGCAGCAAATCCACTGAAATATTATGATCACAAAATTTGTTCCAAAGTATATATCGATAATTTTAGTTTGAATTTACCTTATGGAAGTTACAACCCCTCTGGGTAATGGTACACTTAAAAAAGGTTCACTACATCTGATAGGCCTAAAATAAAACTTGCAACCAAAACATAAAGCAGATTCAGCAAATAAGTTGACTGATAGAATGGGCCTGTCAAATATATGCGGGGGGTCGATGTGAGAGACGATACAGCCCTTTGGTTTATAATCATTAATTGTAACACTATTAATAAAGTTTGGCGGAAGAATTTCGTATAAAATTAAAGGATTTATTACGTATGTGTATATCCACAATGGAATAGGACTTATGAAGTTTTTTGGATATAGACATTCTGTAATTTGATTTTTAGAATTAGTTGCAGAAATTTGAAAGCCATAAGTATATCTCTCTCCAAAAAAATATCTAAAAGGAGCGACATTTCACTAAACTTTTAAAAAATGTCATTTTCATTTGTAATTAATATGAATTTAGTATTTTAAAAATTACTTACTTTTTCCTTAGTAATGTTTCATCAGTTGTCCACTTTGTATATTTTCCTTTAACCTGTGCCTCTTCAATTACTTTTTCAACATGTGACTCAATAATTTTGCATTCATTATCAGAAAAAATAAAAGGCTGTTCAATGCTATTTACCAGTTTTAAAAACGTATCTTCGTTTTGAATCTTTGCTACACTCATTGCGGTGGTTTACTAATTCATTGTTTATTTTGTTTATTATGCAAATGATTTTATTTACTGCAAATTTTGACCATAGTTTTACTATGTATTTAAAGATGGAAGGTCAAAAAATCACAAAAAGTCATTAACGATTAAAAAAGATAGATAAGATAATTGGATAATAGTCAAACCAGTTTTTTTTGTTATTAATATTACCATTTATTCATTTTTCAGTTATTTAAATAAGAAGCAGAAATATTTAGAAGTTGATGTACCTTAAACCTAATAACAAGAGACAATAAAAATGTGCCACTAATATTAACAACATTAGGAAGATCACAAAAATGACAGTATAAATAATTAATTGTTAATCAATGGTATTTAATCTGTTTATTGTAATATCAGTTCGTCGATTTAATATTTCAATAACTTTTCTTGGAGGAAAATTGATCACACCAACTTCCTTTAATGCCTGTGGTCTTTGGTCTTCAACTCCTGTTGCTCCTTCCAGAGCTATTAAAGTTTCTCTTAATAAAAGAGCAGATCCCTTTGAAAGATTCAAAAGCGAACAGGTTTCCTCCATTCTGAAATATTTAATGCAGTACATTACTTTCATTATCAGATAAAAGTTAACCCTTATATTGAGACTAGTATATGTAGAATTGAATTAAAACTTGCACAAAAATAAAAAAAAAAAAGAAACCGATGCAATTAAGATTTTCAGCTCATATCACAAAATCTCTGTACATTTAGAGCAACCTTATAGAAAGATAAAAGTAAACGTAAATGTAAAAGTTTATTAGTTTTACAATGCCTTTGACTTACCTCCAAAAATAAATTTCTGGACTATTCGTATATTGTGAAAAAAGAGGAAATAAATTCCTTGTTATATCATATTTAAGTTGTAAGGCACCGCCTTCGTTGAATCTGTTTTCCATTACTAATTCGTCGAAAAAGAATTCGTCCAATTTTTTTGCCAAATTTTTCCATGTAGCCGCAAAAAGTTTACTAGTTAATTTCTTTTGTAGTTGATGTAGTCTAATAGCTAATATTTCAAATATTGGACATGCAGATGGAGTTAAGGAAAAACTGCGAATATCTTTATACTTTGTAATTGAGCCCCACCTTAAAGTATATTAATTTATATGTATAGATCACATTAAAAATTTAATTAAAAGCTTTTGCAAAAACTCAATAAGTTACTATTTTATTAATTTTAAAATTTGTTGAGTTTCAATTGAATTGCAAATAAATAAATTACTTTAAAAACTTTTAACTTAGAACATTACATTATTATTTCATTGTTTAATCAAAGAAGATTATGTTTGATATTTTCACCTACGCTTCGTGTCTGTAGTCTCTACTTCTAGCTCTGCATTCCATAAAAACGGATTCTGATATGTTGCATATTAAATCAATCCGCATGTGACGATATAAACTTAACGTATCTGCGAACACTGAGTCTGTGTCTACCTCGGTTAAAACATTTTCTTCGTTTGCATCACAAAAATCCACTGAGTTGTTCATACATTCCGCATCTTTTAACTGATTTTTGTAGTAGAACAAGTTTAAAAAATGCTAAAAAATAATTTATGGTTTAGTTTTTTGATCTTAAAGTAAATACAGAATGGAGATGAAAACAAAACAGACTTACTAACATTGATCCCCAATCTATCAATACGTTTTCGATATAAAATAAGGTGTTGACAATCATGGGAACTCTGGATTCGACTATGTTTCCCTCTTCTGCATGAACCAATTGCAGAAGCCTTACTCTAAAGTCGTCCAGCAGTTCTAACTGCAACTCTAAGAATTGCAATCGATGACCGGGTTGAGGTAATAATTCATATCTATCAGTCATTGTTTGCAATAAAGTTATAAACATGTCAGCACACGTTGTTACTTTAAAGTCGTCGATATCAGTTAAAATTGATTCAAAAGCTTCTGGAGAATTAGGTGACAACATAAGATCCATTTTTTCAGTGGCGTCTTTGGTTCAAAGAAACCGTATTAGGTGTATATTATTTTTTTTTTCATGTAATTGTTATAATTATTTTTCTGTTCGTAATGTCGACTTTTATAAATATACTTACATTTTTTTTCCATTGATAGCCATTTAACAAATATTTGTGGTTGTGTGAGAACACAAAGTATTCCAGGTTGAATTGGTGGATAGCCATAGCTCTCTCGTAGCTCTTTATCAAATCCTAAAGCCTCATCAATGCTATGGGAAAAGGTGAAATCATCATACTGTAATGTAGGTAAGTCAGAATTTAGTTTTTCTACTGCTAACTGAATTAATCCTCGCATCAATTCAATCTACATGAAAGTAAAAATTAATTTTATTAGAAATTACTTAAGTAAAATGTGACAATTTACTTTTGTATCAATATAGTGCATCCCCATTCTGTCAGCTACAGGTTGAATCCATTTTTCAACAAACTCACTATGATCTCTAATCCAGGTAAGTATTTGGGTGAAATACCTGAACATGAAAAGAGAAATTAAAAACAAAAAATAGATTATCAACTTAAGATAACCAACCATTCAGGTTTGTCAACACGATTGGTCTTTCGTGGACCATAAAAGTGATACAAAAATCGTTTCCTAAGAGGGCTACTCATCAGTTCTAAGGGTAAACATAAAGGCATAAAGTCAGAAAGTATACCTGACTTTTCTTCCCCAATTTTAATTTCCTCAGGTGGTTGAATTTGCAAAAGATACTCAACTACAATCTGCAGTTTATTTATATTATTCTGGGAAGGTTCTTGCAAAGAAAGATTAACATTTACAAATGGCCATTTTACTGTTTTTAACACCTCTTCAAGGTCTCTGAAATTTTTATTAAGTTACACTAGCAAACCTCAAGCATTAAATGTAACAGTGCTACTTTTGCTCAATGTATTTTGTGATAAAAATTAAACACTAATTAATGTGGTCATACTTAGTAAATTTCTCTTTTAATATATTATGCCAATGTAGTATAACTTCCTTTAGGTGTTCCCTTAAATTACGTGCTGTAGAGTTATAAAGGTGCCTGTTAATTTCACATAGATTTGCATAAATTGTTGCACACTGTTCATCATCTTTTTTTGCCATTTCTTTTTGAAGTGCTACACTAAAATTATTGATTTTAAAACATGTTGTTTACTAACATTTATGATACGTACTTTAACTGCTCTATCCGCTCTAAAACTTTATAATATTGAAGTGTACATTCTAATCTATTGAGTTTATCTAAATTTGATTCAAAATATGCCACTGGCTCTCGAAACTTCTCTAAATATTGATCTAATACATTTGTTACCGTTTCAGCCTCTTCTAAAACAGTTTTAATTTTTTCTGTATTACTTTCAATGTTTCTTACAGACTGTGCTATAGACGAAGAATCGTTGTTTAAATCTATCTAAGATTATAAAAGGAGTAATTTTAATAAAAGAGGCAGCAAAATGTTACTTATATTTACCTCTTCACGAAGACATGCCACTTTTTTTTGATATTTTTTCTGTAGTTGTCTACATCTCTCAGGGTCTCTAAGATCATCACTAAAGCCTTTATAAAAGTTTTTTAAGACATCCTTATGAATATGGGCCATTTTGCAATTACCATAACCCTAACACTAACCTCTATAATGTGTATCTTATCACTAATAATTACTGCTTCTATAAACTTTAGCTAAAAAAATATTAACAAACGATATAAATAAAACTATAACCTATATTCCTAGAATAATATGCCCTTTGACATGTACAGGTTAATGGATTATTGAAGTGTCAAGCATATCAAGTGTCGACATCGAGTGTTATACATACGGAGCAGGAGCTTGATACCACCTGACACATTAAACACTACTTACACATAACCTGTAATTTTTAAATAATTTTCTGCTGTTATAAAGTTTAGTATTAAACACATTACAGTGTAATTAGTTATCAAAAATGTGAAAAGGAAGCCTCATGTGCAGTGTAGTAATAGTTATTGTACAATAAAAATGAATTAACCATGGATGCAAAAAATTGTGAGGAGACAGGTCTTGCAACCTCTGAAGCTTTGTACAAACTGCAAAATGAAATAGAGCAAGTCCTTATTCAGTTTAAATTATCGCAAAAATCTCGGTAATCCCCTATTTAAATCTAATATGTATAATTGTTACACTTAATTTTAGTAATTCTAGGTCATGGTTGTTTTCTGCACTTAATCATTCTAGTCAACATACTACCATCAACTGGGTCTCAACACTATTATTGATTCTCTCATCCTTTTTATTTTTGTTTTCCTATTTTATTCATCCTGTGACAGAGGTTTTGATTTATCAGTCAGTTTTTATTTTAATTTTAACAATAATTAGTATCATAATTGAAGTAAATGACAATAAATTGAGACATAATGAAATATTCAACAGAGCCCAAAATCTACTACAACAACTACGAACTGACTGTAAAAATTTAAAGTGGGTCACATCAAACTATCCTCATCTCTTATCTCCCTATTCTCCATGCATTACTCTACAGTGGACTTATAGAGATGGTAAATTAGTTAATTTACCATGGGCTCTTTTGGTAAAAGGTGATTTGATATTGATACGTCCTGGTCAGATAGTACCTGGGTACTGTGAGGCAGTAGATAAAAATTCTGATTTTCCTTTGTTACATTTGAAAGAGGTTTACGGGCCATCGTTGCCTACAGCCAATGAATTCTTTAGTGTGGCAAAAATGAGGAAACCGTTACAAAACAAAAAGTACAGACTTTTAGAAACACCATATTTGCATAATCTTCGAATTGCTTTAGAACAGTCATTAGATCGACCAATCACCCAATATAATCAGCAAAGACATCTTTTGATGATCAAAATTGGCGAACAGTTCATTGTGCCTTCTGTCTTAGTTATAATTTATGTAATAAATTTTGTACGGTACATGTATTTGGAGCATTATATAGGAAGCGTTCATTGGATAGACTCTTTCGTCTTAGTACCTGTTTGTACTGTTTTACCTTTATTACCCATTATTTTCCCTATATTGTGGAACCTCTTGAATTGTTATGGAATGGCAAGGTAATTTATAGTGAATAACTTTTTATTACACTATTTAGCAGGTATACCAAACAGTATATTTTTAACCGTAAATTTATAGTGCTACAAATTTTTTAAAATTTAATTAGAAATCGGGTATTTACGAAATTACATCCGAAAATTGTAAAAAAGTCATATTGGGCAGACAAAAAGATCAATTTTTGCAAGCTATAAAGAACATTCATTTCAGATACAATTAAATAGAGTATAAGATTCCCATGCATTTTTTTCACTAAGTAGACAAATGACGCTCTTTTGTAATTGTTAATTATACTATTTTATTGTTCTAAAGATCATTAGTCTCATTGGTTTCTAAACGCTATTCATAATATAATAACGAATTTTTTTGTTCTTAGGTTTCAAGTATTTTTTAATGAGTCCAAAAAGTTGCAGCCCACTGAAGAGGACTTTTTTGAGGAAGAAGAAGACAATAAGTTGTCATACCCAATAGTAAATTGTAATTGGATAAGTATATGGAAAAATTTTGTAAAAGTTTTTAAAGGAGATGGTGATATTTTAATGAGGACTGCTAATATTGTGCATGTTCTTGGTTCCATCACAGTATGTTCATTTTAATATACTCTAAGGAAAAATTAGTTAAAAACATAAACAAGTTTGGTGTGCCATTTTTCAATTTGTATTTTTTTACTAATTCACTTACGTTAAGGAACGATTTTCTGGGTGTAATGGTCGGGTCGGTCGTGGTCTTATAAGAGTCCTCCTCCCTCTGTAATCTTTGATTTATAGGTTTGTGTAACGTTACAGAGGAGAGGAGTTCGTTTGCACCTAATCCAGGAAGATCATCCCTTAATAATTAACACCTGTTATAACCGCATTTATTTCTATTTATTAAACTACCTTTTGATTATAGGCCTTTTGCTGTGTTGACAAGAAGGGGGTATTATCTTGGCCCAACCCAACAGCAGAAAAAATATTTTTTCTGCGTAATTCTGATAACGTATCGCGCACATCAAGGTGTTATATTTCTGTTTTAGAAACTAAAATTATTTGATACTTTTTCTCTTTCAGTTTAGCTAATTTAGGGGAATTAAGTGCTGATAATGATAGCATTCACGACGACGATGCAGTACAGCATCAGCCTCGTTCTGAGGATTACCGTGAATCGTCTCATGCCGAAGTATTGGACCTTACACGCGATCATAAAGACCCTTTTAAGCTTTGTTTTGATGATATGAACTGGCGCAAAAATATCAGTTCGTTAAAACCTCTTGGTCTGGCTGTTTTATTGAACACTTGTAACTTGGATACTCAGGTCTGTTTCGTAAATTTGCTGCAATAATTTCTTTTTTTTAATGTGTATGTGTGTATTCAGGAATATTACACCCAATTCTGTTCGCATATAACGTGTGAAGCTATGTACAACGAAAATTTAGTGCCTGTTGCCAATCGAAGATGTTTATGTGAATTGGCCAAAGAAATTGGTTTTTCTAGTGATGCTCAAAAGGCTTTCTCTTTAGAGCAACAATTGTCGACGTACCGTCACCTGGTAAAAGCAAAAACATATCAAGTTAAATTAACTATTATAAAACGTTGTTTATCTTTTTTCTTCATTTAGCAAACAGAAATGGTTCGTAGAGACAACAAGTATGCTAGGTCTTTACAAATGCAAACAAAGTTAAAGTTTCCCTTTCCTCATATGTTTGCCGTTATTGTAAAAGAACTGAGTTCCGGGTCCACTCAGCTCCTTTCACAGGGAACAGCTGATGTAATTTTGGATTCCTGCGTTGACTATTGGGACGGCCAAGACCTGTGCACGTTAACTCAGGCTGACAGGAAAAAAATTCAGGATTTCTATCAAAGGACAAGTTTGACAGCTTATTGTACTGCTTTTGCTTACAGGTAGACTCAATTTTTTGTAAAATTTTGTACAACTTTTATTACACACATAAAAATTGTTCAACTTTTTAAAGGCCTGTAAATAAAGCTGTTAACGAAAAATTAGGAAAGTTATACTTGGAATTACCAAGTGATAGTCGTCACCTGTATTTAAGTCATCGTAGCCCATCTCCTATACATTGGGAATGTAGACCTGTGCTAGAGCCAAAAACAAGGACACCATTGGGACCTTTTTGTAGTACTGGTGGGCTTTTTTTATCATATAATATTAAGCAAGCACTTATTACATGAATACACGTTTTATGTAGAGTTACTACATGTTTTTAGATTCACTTTTGTGTAATGGAAGTCCGGTTTCGGACATTTCTGATGCAGACAGTTATTTTGAAATGCAGTGCAATCAAGTTTTTATTGGAATGGTCACTATGCAGTATCAAGTTATTTCTGATATGGTAAATTTAAAAGAAAATTAAATTATACCATGCGTGATATGTAATTTCAGGTTCACTTAATAGACCAATTGGAAGCAGCTTGTATTCGTTTTGTACATTTTAGTAAAGAAAACGAGCTAAGATCTAGGGTGTTCAGTGAGAAAATGGGGCTAGAAAGTGGATGGAATTGTCATATATCTTTACTCAGTGATAGAAGCAGGTATGTGGAATCATCTTTTTTAGAATGTAATTGTAATTCCTTTCTTATTAATTTGTTAATTTTTTATCTTGATATACTATGCAACAAGTTTTTTAAATCCTTTTTTTGCATATTTACCTAATCTATATTAATTTAAACAGACAATAGCAGACAGGCATTTTAATTAAGTATCCTAAATTATCTCTATATAATCATAATTTTATAATTCTGAGATAAACTTGAAAGAAAGTATATTTTTAGTCTACACTTATTTACATGCAAATGACTTAAAAGGATTATACATTTAACTTTGTTTCATTAACAAACTGTTTAGGAAAAGTAACAATAAAAGAATTAATAAAAAAATCAATAATAAGTAAGACGAACATTTTTTGTATGCTAGTAGAGGCTTTATCTGAGAAAACTTGCACTGTAGAATAAATTTCTTGGCCTGTAATAATATTTTTACTAACTGACCATGATGAGGCATACAGAGTGTCCCACATGACTTTAGGTGAAAGAAAATTACAAACTTGAATGTTGTAGTTGGAAAGACAGATCAATTTTATGTTAATTTTCAAATTTATAATTAAATACAACTTAATACTTTTAACAGTAAGGCTATTGTGGGATACCCTGTAGATTGAGTTTAAGAGTGAGAACATATCGAGCAAGTAAAATAATCTTTTATACCTTAGTGGTGTTTATAAGTATAAGCAGGTGTACTAAATATTACAGTTTCGTAATGATTCTCACTGTTAAACTTGATCTATCATCTCGATACTCAGGCCGCCGAAGCCTTCGCTGTTCATTCTCTCCACACTCTTTTGTTAATGTTCGTCTCCGTCATTAGAAGGGACAGTGGACCGCTCGAATGCTGGGCTAACAACGGAACTTTGCGCGTTTGTTCGCCGGACTTATTGCCCAAACGAAAACAGCACATCAATAGAATCGTTAGTTCGACTACTTCTGACTCTGCGAGGCCTCTGTTAGACAACACTAGGTACTATATTATGTTTGCTCTTAGGCATTACACGCGAACAGTTTAATTACTGGCCTAGTAGCAAAAATAGTATAGATAGACAAGTTTGAAAAGCATTAATATATCATGTGTTAGTGTCTTCATTATGTTCATTGTCCTAGTGCTTGAACGTTTTAATATATAACACACATTTTTGCTTATTATTAATTTGTTTGGCTAATATACTGAACTTTTTGAATTCATCACCCTTCATAATGATTAATACTACGTTAATAGCAAAGAAAATTACAACCAGAAACATTGATTTTTAAATTGAAATTAAATACTTTTGATGTTATACTTCTTTTGGGTTGTTGAGAGTAAAATTTTAGCTTGCAATGGAAGTTGCGCGCGCACAGGTAACGAAAAATGGTCATAATCGAAAGGATTGTTTAAATAAGTACATAATTAATTAATACACCAAAGAAGTATAATTTCTAACGCGTACTATAGATACGGACACAGACGAGTTTTTTAAATATTCAAAACCAAAGAAAAAATATTAATGTAAGAAAATTTGTAAAGAAATATTTCCTATTTAAAAATGCATGTTAAATTTTTCAAATTTATTGACTTACTGCTTTAAGTGCTTTCTGCCCACTATAATTTCTGCTAGAGTGTGCTAAAAAAATAATGAAAGTAGCAAATAGAAATGTGAGTTATGTCTAGCTTTTAGTTTATTATCAAATATAATTATGTATTTACGTCTCACTCTCGTTTATTAACTTTAGTTAATAGTTAAATTTGTTGCATTTAATGCATTGGTTTAGAATTTTTCTTTAATAAATTTAGAATCGCTTACCTGCAAAGTAAAATAATTAGTATTGTTATTTATAAACATACATTGTATATGGTAATGGTGAACAAGTAGAAATCATTTGACGCATGCGTAATTTTTTAATAAGATTATATTTCAGAGATTAAAGAAACGAGGATGTTTAAAAAAGTAATATCAATTTACAGAACAATAGTATATATTGAAATATTAAAAAAAATCCTTTAAATAATTTGCTTTTGCAGCTTCTTCATTACTTTCTTATTTTGATTTCTCATTTCATTTTTCATACATTTTACTTTGTATTACCTACCTTTACTACAAAAACAAATAGTAGTAAAATAATAAAATTATAGCAATTTGGATTCGTCAAAGATGCTAAGTTATTCTGCACCAAGCGCTATAAATGTAGAATATTCTGTTGTCAAGTTTGAAGAGGAAGAAAAGGAGTCTAACATCAGGGAAATAGAGAGTGATGATCCGGAGCAACCTTTACAAGAAATTAAAAACACCACTAGTCAGGACAGTGTCCAGATTCGCACAGTAGACTTAAATACTTCTCATGAATGGCAATCGTTAAGCTGTCTCACAGATAGTTCTGATCAAAGTGCTCCTATAAATTTTGATATGAGCAACAGGGTAAGTAAAAAAACGTAGTGTCAAATTTCAAGTTGATAACACTAACAGTTGCTGAGATAATCAATTGTGATATAAAACAGCCAGCATACGAAAAGTTGTCAAAAAGATTCCGGTTTACCTTATTTAGGCACCTACAATGTCTAAAATATACAAATATTAAAATTGTTCTGTCTGTTAGCGAATTCTGCAAAAACTATTGAAAGGATTTTCATAGATCTTTCACCACTGGTTAAGATTGTGGGAGTAGTACAAGGTTGGTTTTGTTTTGAAACGACATTAAAAAAAACATAAAAAACAAGGTAAAAATGATAAGGACGTTTACTGTGCAATTGATTTTCAGTTTTCTACATTATTTTATTTATATTTGATTTTAATTTAAAATTTGTATTTTTTGTTAATGTAAAGTAGTTTTTAAATTGTAATAATTCAAACCATTACAGGGTGAAAAGGTAATTAATTAATCAAACTATC